ATAATAATAATAACAGTAATAATAATAATAATAATAATAATAATAATAAAAATAATAATAATAATAGTAGACTATATATTAGCAAATAAATCTTTGCTTGAACCAAGTAATTTTTACAAATTTTGTTTGAAATACAGAAATTATTGATTTAAATTAAAATACTCTCTAAATCTGAATTAGTAAAAAATTTTACTAATTTAAATTAGTGACTCATTTTTTGCTTTAGAATTAGTTAAATTTTACTAATTTTTAGTAAAAGTTACTAATAATTTAGTAAAATTTTACTAATTCATAAGCAAAAAAATGAGTCACTAATTCAAATTAGTAAACATTTTTTCCTAATTCAGATTTAGAGAGAGATATAATACAGTTTATTTGATTCAATTAAATTTTTTTTTCATTATGTATATTTAAAATATAATATAATAAACGTGTTAATTTATCCATCGCACATTAAGTAGCTTGTATTATTTAAATTTCATTATTCAGCCTTGAGAAATTCTTTCAAGTTCACCGACATAGATCTGTCGTCGTCACGCACAAATATCTTATAATGAGTCTAGATTTCCGGTTCATGGTTTATCTTATTCTAGATATATGTTTCGAATCAGTATATATAAATTTCACAAGGAATTTATTAATACAGGAAGTAAAAAAATTTAGATTTCTATCAATTTTCTTTTCTTTTTTTTTTTTTTTTGACAATAGCAAAAACTAATTACAAAATGTTAATTACCCAAAAAAAAAAGAAATTCGAATTGTATTTCTTTTATCTAAAATAACAATTTAGATAACAGAATAGACGTACATTGAGAAAAAAATTTATTTGATTCAAATAACCGATTACTTGATTTATTATCAAATACCCTCACAGCACCAGATATCCTAGGATATTCCAAAAACATCCCTTGAATATCCTAGGGATACCCCAGGGATATACTAACGATACTTTAAAGATATCCAAAGTAGCGGCGGTTAGGATATCCCAGGGATATTTAAGGATGTCCCTAGGACGTCCCAGGGATATCCTAATCCTTTCCCCGGGTATTATCAGGATATCCTGTGGATATCCTTAGAACGTCCCAAGGATAGCCTGTGGATATCCCTGGAATAATTAGAGATGTCCTTAGGACGTCCTAAGGATATCCAAAGGATATCCCTGGAATAATTAGGGATGTCCTTAGGACACAGTATCCACAGTATGTCTATATTATCTTAAGGGTTAGAATATCCTTGAGTCGTTCTAAAAATGTCCCTAAGGTATCCATTAAACGACTCTAACATACAAATTCATTAAATAAAAATGGAAAACATATTTTTTGGATGTATTTATAATGTATTTCCAAGATATCTAAAATTTACTTTCGGTGCATATGTTAGAACAAAAATTTTTCATTCCGTCAGTTCCATAAAAAACGAATTTAAAGTGTCGAAAATCGCATTTTTGGCTTAAATATATGCTCTAATTATCAACTTTAAGGCCCAGATTTTAAAGATGATTGACAATCACGGGAAACCTATTTGTATCAAAAAATCGCTATCTCAAATAGTCAAAATTTGAATCATAATGATATCCTAGGGAGATCTTAGCGATATTTCTAGAATATTTTAACGATATACCAAGTTTATCCCAAGAATATCACTAGGATATCCTTGGAATATCTCAGGGATATCCCTAGAATATCCTCAGGATATCCCAAAAAATATCCTACGTAACGGCGGTTTGGATGTTCTGAGGATATCCTATGGACGTTTTCAGGATATCCTACATTAGTTTAGGATATCCTGAGGATATCCTCAAGATATCCTTTTGTTATGAGGGTATAAATATTTACTTGAAGCAAATAATTTTTATTTGAATTAAATAAACTATAAACCAATAATAAGCTTCTTAATTTCAAAAAAAAATTTTCTTTGTATTAATTTGTGCATTAAATCAAAGAATTTGATTTCTTTAAATCAAAAAAATCTTTTTTTTTGAGTGTAAATGAGGGAAGAATCGAAGGTGTGGGAGGGGGGCAGGGGGTATTAAAGAGTGCGAGGAAAGTTTACAGGAAGATCCTGAACCAGAAAAAAAAGGGAGGAAAGAGAGCGACATGAGATCAGGCTTATTGTGAGTTAGGGGATCGGTGCGGTGAAGGGAAGCTGAGGAAGAAGAAGAAAAAGGAAGATGAAAAAAGAGAGAGAGAGAGAGAAAAAGAGTGAAAAAAAAGGAAGCTGAGAGGCATGCTGGGCTACAAGCTGTCTGATGGCGATAGCATCGAATCGGACCCTAGAATCGCCCGAAGAGGTTTTCCATGTTTCTTCGTTATACGATCTTGTACCAGACGCTCATGTACCACGGGGATGGTGTCCAGGTAACAAACACCCCCAATTATGTCAAGCTGAATTAGTAGTGTACCCTTGGACTGTTTTTGGCTCTTCTCTAACGAGCCGACTTGGTCTTCCGTGTGTCCACACACATATATATATATACTGAAAAAACCTTCCTTGACTCATCTTGGAAGAAAACGATTTTTCATTCTTGCCGCATATACAGTAGCCGATATTTCCGTATAGTATATCCAAACAACTTTAGAAGACAACTATTTTCCATTAGGGTTACAATGATTTATCGTTTTCAGATAAATATACCAAATTAGTGTGTTAAAGATATATATTTTCTAAAAAAAAAAAAAAATTCCCCATAAGAATTTAACAGGCACTTACAATTTATAAATATAATTTCCTTATTAGTAATTTTTAAACTACACAGAAAATTAAAAGGCATTAAAATAAGCTGCATTATTTTAATCCAATTTTTTGCTTATTTTAATAATAAAAATGGATTAAAAATGAGCAAAATTGGATTAAAATAATAAGCGTTGCAACTTATTTTAATACCTTTTAATTTCCTGTGTAGATTCTAATTTTTAGTTATTCTACTAAGACGCATGATTACATCAAATATGTAGTAAAAAAAAAAAAAAAATGTTAAAAGCTTTTGCCAGCGGGATGGTTACATTTTTATCTCCATTTGACCGAATATCCTGATTTTGACCTGAAGGAAGAATTATTTTTACTGCCGCATTTTTTATGTTTGGACCACTTTTATGTCAATCTGTCGCCTATCTGTCGCGACGTCTGTAACGAAACTCCTAGACTTACGTTTCAATCTTTAAATTTTCTTCGACCCATATATGAAATATGATATTTTTTGATATAGACGATTTTTTTTAAGACGATATAAAATTTTTGAAAAATTTTTTACAATTTTGTTGTAATATATCGTTTTTTTTTTTTTTTGAAATTGATGACAACCTTTTAGGATTGACAGAGACGGATTAATGATTAGTGATTTTTTTTTTTTTTTTTTTGAAGAAAGTGTTAGTGTCTTCGCATATAGTGTTGCCATAAGACCAACGGTCACCTGTAAAACCGGCTTGTTCGCCCACGCAAACCTGTTCAATGTGACCCAAGACAATGCTGACTATATACCTACATGGCGAGAGAACGGTTAACTGAGAGCGCGACAATCTTAAGCGCACTGCTTAACAAGATAAGGTATTCAAGCACAGGCAGACAAGATAAGCTCCTCTCGTACTTACAAACCAGAGTTAGGACAGGTAAAACGATGTGCGAATCATAAAACTTAGTGTGTACATACATTGAATATGTGTTTGCTCATCGGAATTTAAAGAAAAAATTATTTTCCTATGTTTTTTTTTTTTTGGTACAATTTTTTACATCGGAGAAATATTATTAATGGAAAAAAATAAATGAAAACATTCGAAGAAATAGTTTTAATACACCAAAAACGTTTCAAAATCAAAATTTGTCCACGTACTGAAGAAAGAGACGTATGAAGCAAAAAATTAATAATATGGGGCATTCTATGGGAAATTTTTTGTTTTGTCCAAAATATTTTTTTTCGAAATCTATATGAAAAATAAAGAAATACACGTAATTTTTTATTTTTTTATTTGATGAAAATGACGGAAGTTATGATTTATTTTGTAATTTAACGTCAACGAAGAAAGTGTGTTTTTGGAACATTTTTTAATCTATTGTACTAATAAATTAAAAATTATTCTATATATATGAAATTTGTTCATTTTTTCTCAAATTTTTCAAATATGTACTCAAAAATAACGTACCTACACGGAGAAAAATTTCTTGGAACTTTTGCTTGAAATCATGGGAAAAATTTATATTATTAATGGCAAGGTGGTGACAACTCGTCATTTTTAGCAAAATATAATTTTTAAAATACTATATTATCCTATATATTGGTTTACAAATTTTCAGAAGTGCTTATAGTTGTAAATATATTAAAACATAGTATAACTTTGTAGACTGCAAAACAAAATATCTTATCCTACATATCATGAAAACCAGTGCGGAATGGGAATTTTAATTTTGGTAGTGAGAACTATAAGCTATCCTTTACTAGTTTTTAATGCCGTCAAGTAGAGCATCTTATACCGTGAGCATGGGAATTTTCGTGATGTTAGAAAGTAGCGGCGTCTACACAATAATAGCTGTTAGTACCGTCGAGTAGAGCATCTTATACCGTGAGCATGGGAATTTTTGTGATGTTAGAAAGTAGCGGTAGCTATCCAACACTACCTGCCAGTGCCATCAAGAAATCATCTTATACTATGAGCATGGGAATTTTTACTCTGTTGAGAAGGATATAAAACTATTTTTTCATATGTATTAATACTTTTTGAAAATGACTTTATGCAGAGAGTTTAGTTATTTTTTAATGAGAAAATTATAATATTTGTATTAATTTTTTATTAAAAATTTAATTTTACATATTTTAATAATCATTTTTTAGGAATTAATATTATAAAAATATTAATTTTAATTAATATTTGTTCACTTCTAATTCTCAAAATATCAAAAACTCTGATAATTAATAATTATGGATTATATTATTCATAAATAATCTGAAACGACAATTTTAATAATATTAAATAGTTCTAATAAATGAAGTTTAAAATAAATAAGACATACAATTTTTATAAATTCTCTATATATTTCAAAAATATTTCGAAAACATAAATAAACGATTCTTGTATATCATTGCACGTAGATTTTGAAGTATTTTCAGATGAATCGCTGTACTTGTCTGATTTTTTGGCCCTTGGATCTTCTCCGTATTTCGAAAATGATGGTCTTATAAGCTTCGGCAGTAAGTAAAGAACCACTGCATCTTGTTGCTCTGTAAAATGAAACAAAATTCTGTTAAAAAAACAATATTATAAGCATAGGGAATTAATTTATTTATTTTGTATTTTAGAAAATGTACCTTCTGACAATTCTTCAATATTGTAAATTGACTCTTTGTCTTCATTACTTTTCAATTTGCTTCTTAGCAAAAGTGCAATATCCTGGCGAATATCTTTCCAAATGTGGAACAAATTATTTCCCTTATTTGGAAAAATACATAGTTGAATTCAATGTTTATCTGTTTATAAAGAAATTAAGTATTAGTATCTATTAATAAAACCTATGTTACCAAAAATGTGTTAATAAGATATAAAAAACACATTTACCAAATCTGGATCAGCATTTAAACCAAGACATCTATATTTTTTGAAATAGTAATGGCGTTATTTTTCAAGTATTCAATCAGCTGTAAATTTGAAATTTCAATTAAATTATTAATAAATATTTAAATGGATGGATTAAATAAGCAGCACGTAACTAAAGTTGCTTTTGGTTGGTTGTAGAGTTGGAGTTGGTTGGTGAGTTGGTTATAGAGTATAGGAAACGAGGGGAAATTTACTCAGGCAGTCAAGTGAACACTCTTTCTGTAATACTTGTGTAATACCATGTAATAATGCGTTATTACGGTGCTGTAATAACGCAAAAAACTCTGTAATATCTCTGTAATAATGTGTAATACTCTGTAATAACGTGTAATACTTAGTAATAAGGGTAATATGAGGTGTAATACCGATAGTCAAGTGTACACGTTTTTAACTAGTAAATTCCCCCGCGGTAGGAAGGTTTACTAAAATCTTCAAATCACTTAATTATGTACAAGGAAATACCTTGCATAAATATTAAAATTATTATAAATTAATTTTGTCCTTCTCTAAAGTTTACGTTGCTTTATAGAAGCATTTGAGTTAGACAAGGACGGAAAAGAGAAACGGTCAACAGGGCAAGCTTTAAGGCTTTGAATTTTACTATTTTGCCTGAAGCCGACCCTGCATCAATGGTTAAGACGCTTCTATTGGGACAGGGAGAATTAAGCAAAGCGACGCTATCGAGATTTTTCGAAAATATTAAAATAAAATTGTTTGGCATTATAATGAAATAATATTCTCTTACCTTGAAATTAATTCACCGGAAGGAAGATTATAATAAATATTTCTCACTTCACAAAAACTACATGGATGCTGTCGTCTTGAGATGTCGATCACAACTAGTGACGCGTCATGGACGCTGCGTCGTTACAGGATGCACAAAACGTTTTTATTTAAACATATCAAATTTTCCCTATTTCATAATGATTTTTCAAGAAATTTTTGGGTAAAAATAAGTTCAAAAGAAGTATATATTTATATTCTTTTTGTAAAAATACCCAGATAGGTTAAAATATTTACTGCTTTATACAACATGTGAAATATACTTTCGGAAGTACATTTAATCTTTTTCATAATCGTGAAAATTGTTAAGAGAAAAATTATTTTTACTATGTTTTATTTCACACAAAGTACTTAATATAAAGACATTTTTCGATAGATCTATCGAGTGAAACTTACTTCAAAAACATGGGGGATAAGCGCCTACCTGACGAGCAAATATTCCCATGCTGCAAAGCACTTTCTCAAGCAATGCACTGTAAATCTTCATTTACTTACTCTGGAAATAATTGTTTAAACTACATGCATTTTGTAGCATTATAGATTTGACTTTTTCCTCTTTATTTCGGACTGTTTACTTTATTTTCTATAATATTTTATTGTTTGTAAACCGCATTTTATACGAAAGTATGTATAATTAAAATTGTTAAATTTAAGAAGCACAAAATCACATCAAGCATTTTAAATTTCTCAAAGTGTAACGCAAATTGTGATATCAACGTCAAGTAAATTTTCAAAGTTAGAGTTTCTACTATGTAAGCATAGTTATTTTTAATTTCCATATATAATTTTTTACTCTTTTTATATACAAAATTTCCTTTTTGCATAGAATTCGAGTATTTTTCCCATGCTGTCAAAGAATTATACCAAACTCCCTATCATTTTTTACTTTGTTTTTATTACCCTGTTTTCTCCGTGTATAACAGAAGCAACAAAAAAGTTGAAATTAAACTTATAAAGTGAGTTTTCTCAAAAGAGACACTATCGATTTTTAATTCCGTCATTTTCATCAAATAAAAAAAAAATAAAAAATTACGTATTTCCTTAATTTTCATATAGATTTCGAAAAAAAATATTTTGGACAAAAAAAAATTTTCAATGAAAATTTCCCATAGAATGCCCCATATGTAGTTTTGAGGAAATTTTATCGAAAATTAAAAGATTAGCAAGTCCGTGCGTGTAAACCCCGTATCCGGTGTGACGCCATTTTTACATCGCATCAAAAGGCATAGACAGTTTGAAAATTTTTGTTAAATGTAGTGATATATATATTAGTAAGTAAATATTAATTATTATTCAAAAATGTTGAATGAAGAATTAGTGCAGCTTCTTCGAAAATAGAACATGGAGGAATATATGTATATATATAACGAATTCAGTTTCGTACACTTAACCTAAAAATGAAAACTAAATATTTGATTATTAGAACAAAATTTTTATATAAAATAAAAGAAAATATTAAAAATAAATTTCTTTTTATAATTACGTATAACTAGCGATATATTCCTCGCTTGGTTGCGCTTTATTGCTTACAAGTATAACACTATTCAAGTGCCACCTCCAGATTGATTTTTAACCATATAGGTCTTAAAGAGTACCAAAAAATATAAGATATGTAATTTTTTTTAGCGGCTGCGATGTTGATTTAAGGGATGAAAATAGGGGTTGAAATATTCAATTTTTACACCCAGAGAAATGATTTATTTGAACGAAATAAATATATTTTTGAGTTAAATAAACGTATATTTGTCTCAGAGCCTACTATAACTTATTTATTTGACGTAAATAAAAATTTTATTTGTCAGAAATAAATTTTTCTTTGGCTCAAATAAATTTTTTATTTCAATGAAATGAAATATATTTGTAACAAATAAATGAGTTAGTAGGCTCGGAGACAAATATACCATTTCTCTGAGTGTATTAATCTAATAAGACGAACTGACATGCTTAGTGGAATAATTTATGAAAATTAATACTCTGCATGAAGGCAAATTATTAAAACAAGCATGGACATTACAATAAATGATTGTTTCTATTGTTTAAACAATAAATGATTAAACAATAAGTAAATAATTTTTAAATTAAATTATACTTTATACTCATTAAAAGTATAATAATCTTGATCGCAAAAAATTCACTTTAGTGCAATTAAAAATTCTTTGCAGATTAATTAACCCAATTTTTTTTTTTTACAACAATTTAAATGTTTTATAAAAAAATTTTACATCATAATTTTAATTTCATTTTATTGCTTCGAATAACACTATTAATTTTTTTACCTTTCATAATTCACAATTAATTGTTTAAACAGTTATTGTTAAAAACGTTTTAAATATTATTTTTTTATCATTGTAAAGAAAGTTTGCTTTTAAAAAATAATATTTTAGAATTACCAAAGAATATATTTAAACAGTATTACATACATATAAATATGTAACTGTTCGTATAATTATATTGTTAATAAATATTTAATAGGTACTTTTTGAAAAATTATTATTATTTTAGTAAATTGTTTAAGAATATAAAAAATACTTTTCTCGTTTGCAGTAAAGACTTTTTTTTAAAAATAAAATGTTAATCCAGGTGAAAAAATTAACGTTACTAACGTTACTAATGTTACTGACATTACTAATGTTACTAACGTTAGTACCTATAAAAAAATTAAGAGTTTCTAAAATATATTTTCACAGAAACTTTGCCACTACTTTCCCATTACCACTTTCACTTTCACTTTTTATTATTTTCATTCCCATTTCCACTTATTCTTTTTCTAATTCTCATTCGTACTTCCATTCTCACTTCTACTCTTTCTAATTCTCATTCCCACTTCACTTCCACTTTTTCTAATTTTCATTCCCATTTCCACTTCCACTTTTTTATATTCATTGCCACTTCCACTTTTTCTAATTTTCATTCCCATTCCTATTTCCACTTCCAGGTTTTTATATTCATTGTCACTACCACTTTTTCTAATTCTCATTCACACTTTCACTTCCACTTGTTCCAATTTTTATTCCCATTTCATCTTTCACTTTTTTATTTTCATTACAACTTTTTTATATTTTCACTCCCACTTCCATTCCTAATTTTTTAAATTTTCATTATCACTTTCACTTTTTCTAATTTCCATCCATGGAAATTAAAAAAAGTGGAAATGGTTGCGTAAATGGAAATTAGAAATAGTTTTAGTCGAAATGGCAACAGCTATAATGAAAATTAGAAGTGGAAAAAATGGGAGTAGAAGTGGGAATGAAAATTATAAAAAGGAAAGTGGGAATAAAAATTAGAAAAAGTGGAAGTGGTAATGAAAATAAAAAAGTGAAAGTGGAAGTGAAAGTGGAAATGAGAATTAGAAAGAGTGCAAGTGGGAATGGAAGTGCGAATGAGAATTAGAAAAAGTGAAAGTGGAAACGGTAATGAAAATAAAAAAGTGGAAGTGATAATAGAAATGAAAATTATAAAAAGTGCGGGTAAGAACATATTAAATACTTCCTGGTGGTCGATTTTCGACAAGTTTCTGCAAAAATACAATTTAGAAACATTTTCTTAATTTTTTTATATGTACTAACGTTAGTAACATTAGTAACGTTAGTAATATTAGTAACGTTAGTAATGTTAATTTTTCTACCTGGGAAATTATATATATTAGAATTATAATAAAAGTCCGTGTTATCCGAGTTATCCCTTTATCCGTGGTGGGTTCGGTCCACATTAGCTCGGATAACCGGGGTTCTACTGTATTTGAAAATAAGTGAAAATAAATTCTCCAAGCTCGGTGTCGAGGTCACGGTATATTGGTATCGCTTTTGGAAATTTGTTAAATATAATAGAAGATTTTTGTTATTAGAAGAAAGAATTTTAAAAATAAGGAGCATTTGCGCTTTATGTCTGAGGAGAGCGTGAAAAAGTAATTTCCCAAGAAGAGATTGAGGTTAAAATTTTAATTAATATAAATTAATAATTAATTATTAATATTAATTATAATTATATTAATTATAATTAATTATAATATTTTTAATATTTCTTTAAGAAGATATTGTGAAAATAAAAAAAAGAAGTGTCAGCATAATGCTTCAGGAGAAAGGGGAGGGGATTTTAATGGCTCCGAGTATAGAGGGGGAGTTATTATTTCATTCCCCTCATATATATGTATATATATATATATATATATATATATATATATAAACCAATGTAATACATAATGTAGGTAAATATACAGACCGATGACGGTCATGGTGGTGTGGCCACCCTTTAGACTCCCATTATTCTTTCTCGCACATGCCTTGTTATTTCAACAAATGCAGTTACACCAAATTCTCTCCGATTTCGCTTAAAGAATATATGTATATATAAATCTTTTTTTTTTCTATTCTATAAATATAATTCCATATAGTTTCTATAATTTATATTACATTATCTATAATTATATAAAAAAAAAATTTTTTTTTATTTTTTTCTCTAATAAAAAATCTTTTTATTATATTGAATCTAAAATTTTTTTAAAACTTGTTTCTTTTCTTTTGAATGAGTTTCATTCATATTTTATGAGACGAAAAATATTATATTCAATTCAAAATGACTTTGGCTTTATTGGACGCATAATAACAAAGTCAGAAAATTGTGTTTTGAGATGCTAAAAAGTCAACGTCACTGTAAATACGAGGAATGGTTTTTCTTTTTTTTTTTTTCTTTTTTTATGTCGTATAGTATAAAACTTAGTCGACGGTTTCTGAATGGTGAAACGATGAACGAAAACGAAAGAGAGGCGAGAACGAAAAAAAGCTTTTATTCTTTTACGATTTGTTTACAACTCAGGTTCCTTTTGCTGGGATTTCAGACGACATGAACGCTATTTGATCGACGCTCGTGATTTTTTTTTTTTTTTTTTTGGGGGGAACATTAGCATTACATTCATTGACACTAAGAATTTAATAAAAAATGTACTTTTAGCAGGTGTATAAGGATTAAGAATTATTAACACTAGAAAAACAAGGTTTCTTTTTAAGTTTTAAATGATTTTTATTGATGATATATAGTATAAAAAAAAATATAAAGTTACATTTTATATAACTGATGATTAGTACGATAACGAGAAAGAAACACGTGACCAAGTTACCTATTGTCGGCTTTGGCACATCCAAGTAAATATCAATAAAGCTTAAATACGATCGTAATGGAAGTCTGAATCGACGTCTAGGAGTCAGTCGTAAATTTTCGTGCTTCTTCACACTCTCAGAGGATTAATTATTGCAGCTTTTGTTTCTCATCTAGTTCGCACAAACACTGACATAATGACAGTGGCTTTTGTTTCAAAAGAAGCTAAAAATGTTTCATTCCCCTCTTGTAACTATATATATATATAACCGCAATTAAAAGTATAATAATACAAAAAGAAATAAGATTTTTACACAAGACAATTTCATCAAACTTTTAATCTTTGATTTTTAACAAAAGATTTTCTAATAAGGTACCATTCCACTTGGAAAGATTCCCCGGAAAGTGCCCCGTGGAGGTTCTATCAGAATTCCGCCGGAATTCCGTCGGAATTCCATCGGAGTTCCAAAGAATTTCCAATGGGGTTCCGACGGAGTTCCGACAGAATTAGGACTCTAAAAATTTTGAAAAAAATTAATCGGAATTCCGTCAAAATTCCGTCGGAATCCCATCGGAAATTCTTTGGAACTCCAATAGAATTCCGACGGAATTAGGACTCTAAAAATTTTTTTAAAAATTAAACGGAATTCCGTCAGAATCCCGCGGAATTCCATCGGAGTTCCAAAAAATTTCCAATGGGATTCCGACGGAATTCTGACGGAATTAGGACTCTAAAAATTTTGAAAAAAATTAATCGGAATTCCGTCATAATTCCGTCAGAACTCCGTCGGAATCCCATTGGAAATTCTTTGAAACTCAG